CTACAATGAAATGATGACGTTTGACAGCCATTACTGGTGTGTGTGTGTGTGTGTGTGTGTGTGTGTGTGTGTGTGTGTGTGTGTGTGTGTGTGTGTGTCCTTCTTCTAATGACTCACACTTTTGTTTAACGGGGCTTCATGCTTTTTGGGGTTATCCCTTTCCTGTGTTCTATAGGTTTTTGTGCATGTCAATGGTCGACAAAGGCTTCTCTCCCACAGACCCAATATGAAATCAACCCTTAGAGAAACTTCACATCCCCTTAATGCATAAATGAATTTTCAAAGACTTTCAACACTGGCCCCAGCATGATGTTCATTCTATTAACAAGCTGCTGCAACAATATGATAATAATGTCCTCAGAACAAAAAGAAACTAATCTAAAAATAATTTGCTTATATGCTTCAAAGACTAATTTAGGGAAATAATTGAAAGTCCTATTTTCACACGTCCAAAACAGGTAGCAAAGAAAATACCTTATCCGACCTAATTAGACTGGAGCATAATTTGGACCTTTCCATAATTGTAAAATACTTCATCGTAGTATTGTAAACCCCTGTGTGTTCGGTGCTGACAAGCCTTCAAACTGATAGAGCTATAACTCTTTGACTCCAATCGGTCCGACAGTAACTCTGGATTTGACTTAAAGTTAATTTCCCAACTTCATACAATGTTTTCAATAATGGCTATTAAAGTGTTCGTGCTTAGTTGCCTTACATTAGAGACAGATCCACTTCATGCATTCCTCGTATTCCACACTGTAAATGTATTCTGGGTGTCTTTAGCAGAGCAGATCCCCAAATTGGACACTCACTATCTATCAACTACACACACACAGGTTGCTCCAGCTCTCAAACACCTGATCCAATTATCAGGTGTTGGGGTCCTGAGTGTCCGAGGCGCTCCTAACACGCCGAGAGCGTCGCTGTGATTGGAGTCAGATGGAAGCTTTGATTCGCTTTGTCTGGGCTGGAGGACATCCTTTCAACTCTTCACTTTTTGTTTTCATATGCCGACCTTTTTCGTTCTCCTTCTTCTCCGTGGGCTTCCTTTTACTTTAGAATGATTTGTTTACCCACAATTCCCCTGGGTAATTAGTGCTGTGATAATAACTGGAAACAAACACACCCACTCGCTGAGCAGGGCACACACACACACACACACACACACACACACACACACACACACACACACACACACACACACACACACACACACACACACACACACACACACACACGGACGTTGGAGTGAAAAACAACTTCCTTAAGCTTATAGTCGCATTAAGCAGTGGTAAAAGTAGCAACTGGACAATGCATATTTATGAAGAATGAATCAGCAAAATGATGATTGTGTTTCATCAACTCAGTCCAAGTCAATGGTCGTTATAAAGGGAACATATATGGCATTTCAAAAACAGCTATACGAGAAAACATGAAAACTACTGTATGGCCAAACTCCTTTTGTAGTGTTGCCAGCGCTTAAGAAAATACTCTTAGGGGCGGATGCTTGGTATGGCTTTCATTCAATTTCTCCGCTTCACAGCCCCTGAAAGAAGTGACAGTGTTTTAGAGGTTTTCAACGAGGGAGTAGACAAGCAAAAAAATATAGGACATTTGGTTCTTTCCTGACTAAAGCAACAACAGTGTGTTCAGCCGTTTACCTCACACGGCCCTGCAGGCTGACAGGAAAATTATTATGGCTCTACGAAATCCTTTGTGGGCTGGATGATGGGTCAACAAGGTTTTTCAACCAACTGTCAACATTGTTTTACGTTTTAACAATAAAAGCAACTTCTCCTTTAAGTCAAATAAGTTACTTATCTTACTCTACCAGTGGCATCACAACACAGTGTTGATAAAGGTTGTGTCAAAATCATACTTTTGCATTTTAGTGTTCGCTAGTCCTATCATAGGGATTGATCTCTCTTTGATAGCGGAACAACAACACTCTGTAATTACATACTGCTATAAGTAATTGTGTTTGCATCCCTTCATTAATTAAGAACAATAAGAGGGATGTTTGGTTTGTCTCCCTTGGGAATAGTAGACTTTAATGGTGTTTACATTTTTGATTCACTTCAATGCAGAAAGTAAATAGCTTTTTTGTTTTACTTCCACCTGTTGATGTTATTATCTCAGTTTTGTAGGAGCTTTATGGAGAAAAATCAAACCTATTGTGATTAAATAAAACGCTCTGATAAATAACAACGTTCAAAAAGAAAAGCAGTTATTCCCACGAGTTGTTGTATGAATGTGCTTATACTGGGACACTGGGCAGCTGGAGTTGCCAGGTTTTGTCATTATATGCTGTGCCAAGAGTGGAGATGGCTTTTCTCTCTCTGGTTTCTTATTTATTGGGGGTCTTTATTGGAAACCAGACAATTTGATGTGTTTGTGAGCAGGATGTTTAACATGTTAATTAGCTCTTCTCTATCTGATTATTGCCGTCTGAGCTGCTATTCACTTTACAATGCTTGCATGTAATTAGAAAAAAAGACAATATGCATGTTTTCAGTGTGTCCACTAAATCTCTGCACAGCACAGAGAAGTGACAGAGGCAGAGACAAGAAGAGTGATGAGAGAAATGCTAAGATAAGAGAAGGGAGAGAGAGAATCTCCCGCTGTTTTTCCAATCAGGAGGCGTCGTCCTCCTCACTGGTGATTTATTCTCTCTTCTCCCTTTCATGTCCCAATTTCCAACCCCACCTCCATTCCTTTCATTCATTCTCGCTCTCCG